GGGAATCATCTCTTCTCTGAATACCCAGCAGGCTGTTGGAGCAGAAGGGAAGCAGCTATCAGAGCACTCCAGGAAGGTCATGGAACATGTACGGGATGTGGCTGCAACATCAGCAAAAGACAAGACAGAGAATCTTGGATCAACCACTGTGCCCAGGAGGACTCTCGAGCAGGTAAAGTACACCACCTGTGCAGAGCCTCAGGCTCCTCTGGAGCACAGCACGTTTGCCCAGGCAGTGCTTTGCAGTGCCCTGCTTGTTTCCTTGCCTCTCCCTGTCCCTGCTGCAGGCACAGCCTTTTGTTTGTTCTGTCTCTTGCGGCAGCTCATGGCTTTCTCAAAGGTGCCTTCACTGCACTGTCTCCCTCCCTGGCCCCGTGTCCCTGGACACACCCTGGCCTCTCTTGCGCAGCCCCCAGCGAGAGCTTTTTGCCCCCAGTGTTGTCTGGTGCAATTCAGGCTCTCAGAGCAGAGATCTTGCATTGATGTCCAGAGGTTCTTTTGCTCCATGTTTGCTGACAGGTTTCTGTGACCTTTCTCCCATCCAATGTGCAGGTGGAACCTGAAGGAAGAAGAATCAGAACTTTTAGGAGAGTGTTCCCCCCAGAGTCCTTTACGTTCAGTGTCTCCAAGTCTGAGCAGCAAAATAGGTCAACTTCTGAAAGAAGCTCCAGCTTCTCAGGGGAGCAGCAGTAGCCCTCCTGCTGATGCACAGCCTGTGGAGCAAGGGGTCAGTGGCCCAAATGTGTCCTTTGGAAATGAGAGTTGGGTTCCTCACTGCTGTTGGAACTCGCTCTGCTAGACCTGTGGGGGCTGAGGGATGTACGTGGGAAGGGTTTGGCAGCCTTGGACTGGACTTGTTGATCATCTGAGCTCTGTTCAGGGCCAGTCTGGGAGCCTGTTCCTTTCCCCTTCCCCGAGGGCAGAGTGTTGGTGAGGGCTGCAGTTGGAGGCTGTGTCTGCCCTGACAGCCGGTACCGTGGGGCTGTGGATGCTGCTGCCAGCGTGGGCTTGTCTGAGCCGGGCCTTGTGCCTCTTTCAGGTGTCCCTGCTGCAGTCACAGCTGGCCCGAGACCGACAGCACCACCTGGAGAGCTGTGCAGGGAGCAGGCACGAGACACTCCCGTTGAGTCACAGGGAGCAGAAGGGATCTCCTTGCTTCCTAAACTTCTCAGAGAGGAGCCATGGAGCAGCTGGATGTAGTATTAGCCTTAGATTTTGTCACTAGTTTATGTTTAAAGCATAGTTATAGGTGTAAGTGAACCTTTATACAACTGTGTTTCATAGGATGTAGGATGTATTTATAGACAAATAAAGAGTTTGTTATGATCATGATTAAACTAAAAGATCTTTATTGGAATTACTTACTACCCAGTACACGGAACTATAACTTCCAGTGTAGTGTGTTACATTTGATGCAACTTTGAATCAATTCTATTCAAGCCAGCAAAACCAATTCTTAATTAGAGATTGAGCACCCAAACCAATGATCATGGGCAAAGATTTCTCTCAGCCTCAAGGAGTGACACTGAGGGACATGATCACTCCAGGGAGGAATCTGCAGAAAGGAGACATGTGCCATAATCCACTTTGGTGAGGGCAGGAGACTCCTGCCATGTGTGGAGCTTTTTCATTTGTCCTTAGGAAACTGCAACCTGTTTTAGTCTGAGAGTCACAGAATCTCAGGCTGGGTGAGGTTGGAGGTACTTCTGGAGGTCACCTTGCACAGCCCCTGCCCCATCAGGACCACCCAGAGACAGCTGCCCAGGATGTGTCCAGGTGGCTTTTGAGTCACCTGCTGCATCACCTCCCTGGGCACCTGCACCAGTGCTCAGCCACCCTCCCAGTGCAGAAGTGTCTCCTGAGCTCACAGGGCCCCTCCTGTGTGTCACTTTGTGCCCGTGGCCCCTGGGGCTGTCCCTGACCCCATCCCCTCTGCAGCCCCACCCTGGGTATTTATCCCCAGGGATGAGATGCCCTGAGCGTGCTGTGCTCCAGGCTGGGCAGTCCCAGCTCTCTCAGCCTCTCCTCATGGCAGAGATGCTCCAGCCCCTCCATCATGGCCCATCATGGCCCTGTGCTGGGCTCTGTCCAGTCTGTCCCTGTCCCCTGTACTGGGCAGCCCAGCTCTGGGCCCAGCACTCCAAGGCTGCCTCACTGGTGTGGAGCAGAGGGGAAGAAACCCTTCCCTGTGCCATGTGTGGCACCACTTCCATATTCAGAAAGATTTGGCAGGATTTACAACAGGAATTTCTGCTCCATATCTTATGTGGGAAAAAATGTAATGATCCATGCTCCCTCTCACTGGTGGTGAGTAAAGGAAGAGTAGTCCTTTTGTTGGTGACAATGGATGTCAGCTGCATAGGAACCGTGCCAGACTGGTGTGACCTACTGTGGGAAGGTGCACTCTGAGGGATGTAAAAGCTGGGGTGTAGAGATCATTTGAAGACTATTCTTCAAACCATATAAGCCCCTAATTTGTCGAGATGGGGAAAACAATTCCTAGGCAAGTGTGGATGCTAACTCTGAAACAGAGAGCATGTGAAACTGCAGGCCACATAGCTTTCTCAGTCTTGCCTGAGAAAGTGGCCTGGGAAATTATGAGGAGGATTTAAAACAATCCTCAGAGACAGAAAGCAGCCTTGCAGGTGCTGTTTGTCTGTTCCTTGTTTTCTTTGCAGGAGAAGGTCAAGGGGTGGTGTGCCCCACTGACCAATGATGGTGATGTAGTAGTTTACTAACCAGTAAGAGTTTCTTTTCTGTACTTTCCACGTATCGGTCTATAAAAAAGACTTGAAGTAATAAACTAAGAGAAATTCTCCTGATCGACTCCATAGAGCGTCTTTGTCGTTCATTCTCGCCGTTCCTAATAGAGCGACAGGCAAGGGCTGTGTGCTGGTTTTGCATTGATGGATATTTGGGCAAGAAGGAAGAAAGCACCCATAGAAATTATTTCTCTGACAGAAGCTAAGAGCTTCCTCTGTGTTTGGAAAAAAACAATAGCTGGCTAGTTCCGAGAACTGACAACTTATTGAACCACTTAGAAGCTTGGTCCGCCTCTATGAGATGCACATTTTAAAAACAGACAAGGCCTGGAAAGCTCTCTTGGCTTCTGGCCTTGAACAGGTGACTGGGGCCCGGCTCCCCGCACAGCCTGAGGGGTCTGGTGGGGCCAGGCCCGGCTCTGCTGCGGCGCTGGCCCCTCCTGGGAAGTTCGCTGGGTCTGTTGCGGCGGGGGGCTGGGACCCCTTCCCAGGGGGGCTGAGCCCTTCCCGGGAAGCCCGCCGAGCCCTTCCCAGTGGCACCGCCAGGCCAGGCAGGGCCAGGGCTGAAATTCTGCCGCTGCTGGGTTTTACCAGAAACTGCCAGGCAGAGGGAGGGGTAGCCATCGGCCCACGGCGTGCTGCCTTGGAGTCCTGGCCTGGCTGCTGAGATCCTAGCCGCCCTCCCCCAGCACAGCTACCGAGAATCCTCCACCACAAACAGCTCCGGCTGCTGCCCTGGCAGACACCCCATGACCGTCCACAGGTCTGGGCACCATTTAACCCTTTCAGTGCACAGATGAGACCCACAGAGCACGATTCTCACCTCGGCTGAGAGAAAAGAACAGAGTGACGACACGTAGAAAGACAAAGTTGAAGACCGAGGTCAGGAAAGAAAGAGTCAAGCGTCTGATGGAAGGTAAATGAGGAGATGCCTTAGTATTGAGCCTGAAAGCACTTTTGGTAAGGCCAGGGAGATGGGCTATGATCCACTAAAATATCCCCTTTAATTCAGGGGAAAGTATAGGGGGATAAAGTGTTCAAACTGTATATGTGACAAAGGCATCCACTGATGAAGCAGTGTAGATGTTGAAAGAGCTGTGATCCCATCAGAAGCTTGAACAGAGAGACACAGAGAGACAGTGATGAAGACCCTTTGCCCCCAGGGAGGGAAGACCTCTGTTCCCAGAGATGAAAATGATTGCAGAGATAAATGAAGAGCACCTTTGGTTTTGAAGAACTCATCCTTAAAAGAATAGCCCATAAGTTGACATAGCCCATAATTGCAACTGTAGAAAGGCTGTGAAAATGGGAGCAACTTCACAATTGCAGGTTTGTTTTTTTTCCCCAGGCAGCTGCTATTTGTGAAAATGAAAAGCCCCAAGGGAATTGTTTCTTGTGGAGAAGTCTCCATGGCATGGCAAGAGAAAATTCCTCTCCCTACAAGAACTCATGAAAGACTATTGTAGATTTAGTAAGTGATTTTAAATCCCCAGGTGTTGTCTCTGTGTTGTCTGTTGGAAAAGAAGCCTGGCAGGGGGAGGAAAACTGTTCTGAGGGTTTTATTCTGACTCTTTTTATAATTTTAGTTTTGTTAATAAAGTTTTCTTCTGTCTTGGTTTGGAAGACAGGTGTCTGCTAGGGAGGGCAGGAGCCTCCCTTGGAATGAAAATGTAAACCCCCTCCCTCCAAATTACTATAATTTTGAAATCAAGGGTCTCTCAGGCAGAGATCTGGGGATAGGAATAACAGTTCTTTACTATTATGTGCAACAAGGCCAACAACAATAACTACAGCATTAACAACAGGGATGAGCTGAGATCCTGGGCCAGTGGATGAGGTGTATCAGCAGCTCCACAGCAGTGGCTGGCACTGCCACATCTCAGCAGGACAGGGGGCACAAGGCCCACTGATGAAGAGGGAAGAAGAAGCAGCAGCAGCTTCATCTGGGTGATGGCAAATTCTCTTCTCCAAAACCTCAACAGCTCCAAGAGAGAGTGTCTTGCTCTCCAGCCCAAGAAACCAGCCAGCCCCCAGCTGTCCCCCACCCTCCCTTTTCCCTGCATCTCTTCCCCCCTGGCCCAGCCAAGCTCGTTGTGTTTCTCAAGTACTCACTAAGTACCAGCAGTCAGATTTCCCTGCCACTAAAGGGTAAAAATTCCATAGCTGAGAAGGAACAAGAAGGAGGACACCGAACCCCCAACATCTTCATACCTTTTAAGTATTGAGCCTGTTTTGCCCTCCTCCTAATCCATATCTCACAGCAAGAAATAAGTACGTTCACTAGTAATTTTAGCCAGCACTAGACCCACCACATCATTTGGTGTATTGGCTGGGAAACTCAAATTGGTGAACTACAGGCTGAAACTGCAATTCTGTGAGTTCCTTTACCTCCTAGGTCAGTTTTTCCATTAATGATAGCAGATTGTCCTGGTTTAAAAGACAGATGTCTGCCAAGAAAGCTGGAAATCTTCCTGGAATGGAAAGATTGCCCCCTTCCTCCAAATTATAACTTGAAATGACAGGGCTTCCAGGCAATTATATGGGAAAAGGAATAACAGTTCTGTTTAAAATGACATGTAATATTGGCTTTTGCATTTCTGTATTAGCTTTTACTTGTTGGTATTGGATCATAAGTATTTGGATATGGTACAATTTGTAACTCTTTTTGGCTGCTTGTTAGTGTAACACAATCTATTAGTTTTGCACTGTAAAGCTTGCAGAAATAGTGGTGCGATGACTGTATTATATTGTAGGCCTTAGCAAACCACAAAATGTTAAAATGCTCCTATGCAAGTGATAACAGTGACATAAACTAGAGCGCTGGAGAAGAATTTTAGAAGAACTCTTTATCAGGGTGTGGAACAACAGGGTGGAAACAGGAGAAGAAATAAAATATATGGACTTAACCCACAGGATATCATACAGAAAAGTTGGAGTGTAAAACTAAACAAAAGAGTTCTTGAGACATCAAAAATCTCACAAGAATGTTTGAATAATGCATGAAACACATGAATGTGCATGTACCTCCTGTAATATAACAGTATATCGGGAACATTTTCTGAAGCTAATGTAGTGGTTTAGATTACCAATTTAAGTTTCCTGGCCAATGCACCAAATAATGTGGTGGCTTTTAGCGCTAGCTAAAACCACCAGGGTACTTACTAATTTCTTGCTGTGAGATATGGATTAGGAGAAGGGCAAAACAGGCCTAAAACTTAAAAGGAATAAAGAAACTTTATTAACAGAACCACAAGAATAAGAAGCATCAGAATAAAACCTCCCAAAAACTTTTTTCCTTGCCCAACTGACAATGTAGAGACAAAGCCTGGGATGTTAAAGCAGCACCAACTGTACAATAGTCTTTCATCAGTCTTTGTAGGGAGAGCAGTTTTCTCTTGTGCCATGGAGACTTCACAAGACAGAGTTTTCTTGTGGCTTTTCATTTATACGAGTGACAGCTGCCTGGGGAAAAAAAACTCTGCCATCGTGCCCTCCTAGAGGTGTGCCCTCCATTTGAACAGCCCTCCTAGAGGTGTGTCCATGGGCCATGAACTCATGGGGTATTATTTTAAGGATGAGTTATTCAAAGGCAAAGGTTATTTCCATCTGTCTCTGTGATCATCTTTGGGAACAGAGGTTTTCTTCTTCTCTCCCTGAGGGCAAACGGTCTTCAGCTCTCATCTCTCTCTTTCTCTGTTCAAGCCTCTCATGGGATCACAGTTACTTCACCATCTGCTTAACTTCGTCAATGGATACCTCTGCTTAGATCTGCAGCTTGAATACTTCATCCCCCCAATACTCTTTCATGAATTAAAGGAGTTCTTTTTCAGAACATAATTGTCCATCTCCACGGCCCTACCAAAAGAATATTTCAGCTTATTAGAGCATCTCCTCATTCTCCTTCCATCTGAGGTTTGAATCCCTCTCTTACTGACCCCGATGTTTCATGTTGTCTTTCTATGTGTCGATTATTCTTTTATCTCCCTGGAGGAAAAAGCCAGGTCTGCAGGTCTCATCTGTGTAGTGAAAGGGTTAAATCTTGCCCAGGCCACAAGAGGTAGTTACGGTGTCAGATTTTAAAGCCACGCTGGTGCCTCTTTCAGCCTGGCAGCGGCTGGGCCATCTGTGGGGGCTGAGGGGGATGTGGGGCATGTTGGTGAGTGTCAGCAGCCATGGCCTGGCCCCGCCTGGGTTGGGGGACTCCCCTGGGAAGGGCTTTTTCCACCCCACTGGAATGGGACCGAGAGAGCTTCCTGGGAGAAGCCAGTGCTGCAGCAGAGACCTGCCCGGCCTGCGGGAGGCATTGGGTTGGGGAGGGGGGGGGCCTCAGTCTCCATTCCCCACCCAGGAGCCGATGGGGTTTGGCCCAGTCCCCCACCCCCAGGCAGGTCGCACAGGCCATGGGGGAGCAGGGCCAGCCGCACCAGAGTTCTGCTGCATTTCATGGCTGGAAAGAAAGAGAGAGAAGTTCCCGAGCTTGGTTTTTAAAAGGCGGAATTCACAGAGGTGGACTTACTTTTCAGTGGTGCAAAGTGCTGTCAGTTCTCAGAACTGGCCAGCTATTGGCCTATCTCAAGCACAGAAGAAACTCCCAGCAGCTTCTCTCAAAGAAATCCCTTCCGTGGGTGGCTCTTACTGCTTTCCCTAAATGTCAAACTTCCATAGCTAAGGTGTGGTTTTTGGCCGATTGCCAAATCCACCCCAGCCCTAGAGATTTGTCCCTTTCTTCCCCTTATTAAACTTTTAAATATTAATATAACTATAATAATTAATATAACTTTAAAAAACTCTAAAGAGTGAAGCCTGTTTTTTTTCTTTACTAGCACATATATAAATATACAGAGAGAGAAAGAGGTAACAAGAGAGAACAAACAACAGCATCCCTCCAAACTAATCACGGATTCTTCTCACCCACTGAGCAGTTCTGCCTTTGCTGTAGTTATGATCACAACTGGCAGAGGCTGCTGTTGGCTCACGTCGAGGCAGAGTGGCTGCAGTGACTCTGCCCTGGTTCCAGGGGGTGGTGTTGGCTCAGGCGGCTTCAGGGGGCCAGCGATGGGAGCTGTGAGCCACCCCAGGGGTTAATGGCAGCCTCAGGGGGAGAGAGAAGGTGGGGGTCTGGTTTTCCCACGTTCTCACCTGTCTATTGCAGTATCCTGGAGATGGCAGCTCTGGTGAGGCTCCAGTTGAACAGCAGCTGGGGCTCCCTCTCTGCAGAGAGAGAGAGAGAGGACAGGTGGGGTTGTCCAGTTTCCCCTGAAGCTCGCAGGCAGATGGTGAGGGCCTTCATGCTGATGGCGAGTGCTGAAAAGTCCCCGTCAACCAGCTGCTGCTGCAAGCAACAGGCTCACCCATGGGTGGCAAGGAGAATTCTGAAGCAGTGCCGGGCCCAGCACCAGAAACTGCCCCAACTGCCCTGCTCCTAGCATAGCCAGATGGTTCTTCCCTCAGCAAGCCCGTGCCTAACCCCACCCTCCCTCCCTGGAAGCTTCCAGTGGAATGGGAGGGACATCGGCCAGTTCTTTGGTATCTCAATTGCCCATCATCCCTTCCCAAGGGGTGTCAACTACCCCCTCCTCATGTATCAACATCCCCCTTTTCATGTAACAAATAGGAGAAAATCCACCAAAACAAACCCCGCAAACCCACAACATTTGCCACCCTGAATGTTTTCCCATACCAACATATCACATCAAACTTTGATTTTCAAACCGTATAACTACATGTATTATCCTAATTGTACACATACATACATGCAGGTATGGCTACAGGCACAGTGTCTTGGGCAATTCATCCCAAAACACGGTCTCCTTGAGACATACATCATGTTTCTCCATCTTTCTGCATCACTCAGCAAGTGCAAATTGGTGCACTGAGCAACCCCACAGATGGGTTTGTCTTTGATTGAGGCAGAATTAATGCAAACAATCTTTCCCAGCATACCTCTCATATGCACCACCAGATCCTTGTCTCCATCTGCTGTGCACAGGGGTTTGGATCAGGAATAGGCAGCTTCATTGGTGGAACTTCTGGTGTTAACTAACCATGTAGCTTTTGCTAGATGCAGCTGCCACTGCTTGAAGATCCCATGCCTCCCATTGCTTTCAATATTGTTTTTAAGAGTTCATTGCACCGCTCAACTTTCCTGGCAGCTGGTGCATAGAAGGGAATGTGATTCACCCACTCGACGCCATGTTCTCTAGCCCAGGTGTTTATAAGGCTGTCCGTGAAATGAGTGCCTTTGTTGGACTCAATTGTGTGGCAGGTACCATCCTTCCACAGGACCTGCTTTCCAAGGCCCAGGATGGTGTTCTGGGTAGCAGTGTGAGGCACAGGCTAGGTCTCCAGCCATGCTGCGGTGGCTTCTACCACTGTGAGCATGTAGCACTTGCCTTGGAGGGTTTGAGGCAGTGTGATGTAGTCTGCCAGGCCTCCCCACTTACATTTGGACCACGGCCCCCATACCACAGGGGCTTCACCCGCTTAGCTTGCTTGATCGCAGCTCATGTCTCACCATTATGGATAACCTGAGAGATGCTGTCCATGGCTTGATCTACCCCTCGGTCTCATGCCCACTTATAGGTGGCATCTCTGCCCTGATGGCCTGAGGCATCATGGGTCCATCAAGCTAGGAATAACTGTCCCTTGTGTTACCAATCCAAATCTATCTTGAACAAAACAACTTGATTTTTTCAGCCTGATCCGCCTGTTCATTATTTCGGTGCTTCTCATTAGCCTGACTCTTGGGGACATGGACGTGACAGACTTTCACAGGTAGCTTCTCTACCCAAATGGCAACATCTTGCCATTCGTCAGCAGCCCAGAATAGTTTTCCCCTATGCTGCCAATTGGCCTTTTTCCACTTTTCCAGCCAGGAAACAGCTCCACAGAGCATTGGCTACCATCCATGAGTCAGTGTAGAGGGAAAGTTCTGGCCACTTCTCTCACTCAGCAATGTCCAGGGCCAACTGGATGGCTTTGAGTTCAGCAAGTTGTATATTTCCATCTTCTCCTTTGGTAGCTTCTGCAGCCTGTCGTGTTGGGCTCCATACAGCTGCTTTTCCCTTTCAGTTCATCTTTACAATACAACAGGAGCTGTCAGTAAAAAGAGTGTAGCATGCTTCTTCTTGTGGCAGTTGGTTGTAAGGTGGAGCTTCTGCAGCAAGCGACACCTGTTTGTGCTCCTCTTTTTCTGGTAGACCAAAGTTTTCACCTTCAGGCCAATTCATAATTACCTCCAAGATCCCAGAGCAATTTGGGTTTCCAGTACTGGCATGTTGTGTGTTGAGGGCAATCCATTTGCTCCATGTGGCATTGCTGGCATGGTGGGGAGAAGGAAACTTTCCTTTGAAAATCCACACCAGCACTGGCAGTCGGGGTGCCAGGAGGAGTTGTGCATCTGTGCCAGTCACCTCTGAGGTGTCTTGAACTCCTTCATAGGCTGCCAGGATCTCCTTCTGTGTGGGAGTGTAGTCGGCTTGAGACCCTCTGTAGGTTTGATTCCAGAATCCCAGTGGATGGCCTCGAGTCTCACCAGGCACTTTCTGCCAAAGGTTCCAGGACAGACCGTGGCTCCTGGCTGCAGAGTAAAGCACATTTCTCACCTCTGGTCCTGTCCTGACTGGACAAGGGCTACTGCATGAGCGATCTTCTGCTTGATCTGGGCAAAGGTGGACATCGTCCCTCTTGCGGGTTACCAGGTAGAGAGGGCTCACGATCTGTACTCAGGAATTTTTATGTGAAGTCATGGGTTGGAGACAGATTCATGACTCAAGTCCAATGATGATGTGACAAACAGCAAAGAGTTTATTATGGCAACTCTTTATATAGGGAGTTCAAAATTATCGGGCTTGGACTGTTGATTGGTTGAGATCTCTGCACCGCCCACATCTCTGGCCAGTGATATGTCTGCAATTAGGATAAAAAGGGATCAGCTGAAGGTCCCCTGTGTAGGTTTGCATCCAGCCTATCCTTACCATACCCAAGGACTTGTTTATCTTCTAGGCTGGTCAAGTTTGAGGGTCTGATACGGCCAAATTTTTCTGGCAGCTACAGCATTGTGACACAAGGAATGTGCATTCTCCAAAAACCTATGGCACCTAGGAAGGCTTACGTTTGCTTCTTGTTGGTCGGTGGAGACACTGTTTTGAGCTCGTTGATTGCCTCAGTGGTATCTGGCTTTATCTGTCTTGCCACTTTACTCCCAGGTGTGGTGGCCTACAGCTGGCCTGGAGGCCCTACAGTTATAAATAATCCCAACTCTATAGCTGACATGTGGTTCATTACTAACTCCCTTGCTTATAAAACTCAACCAGTAACGTCCGTTGGAGAGCAGGCCCAGGCCGTTGGGGATTCAGGCCGCTATTGGCTGGTTGTCCGGGTGGCAGCTGGCTCAACCAATGAGGATTGGCCATGCGTGCCTTCTGATCTATATAAGCTGAAGAGGTCTCAATAAAGTTGGCTGTTGTGCGTGAGCTTTGGTGCGTTTATTTCATGTCCTTGTCTCCAACATCAAAGTGGCACCCAGGAACTGGATCTCTCGGGCAGATCCCTTGACTTTGCTCTTCTTGATGGCAAAGTTTGCTTCCAGGAGAATCTGGATGATTTTTTCTCCTGTCTCCAATACTTGCATTGCTGTGTTCCCCCACACAATGATGTCATCGATGTACTGCCGATTCAGCCTTTTCCAGTGCAGCCTGGATCAGTCCATGGCAGATGGTGGGGCTGTGCTTCCACCCCTGGGGGCAGTCGGTTCCAGGTGTACTGCACTCCCCTCCAGGTGAAGGCAAACTGAGGCCTGCATTCTGCTGCCAGGGGAATGGAGAAAAATGCATTAGCAATGTCAATAGCTGCCTTGGACTCCAGCTCGTACTGGAGCTCCAGCATGTCCGGCACAGCAGCGCTCAGAGGTGGAGTCACTTCATTCAATGCACGATAGTCCACAGTCAATCTCCATTCTCTGTCAGACTTGCACATAGACCAGATAGGGCTGTTGAAGGGTGAGTGGGCCTTGCTGATCACCCCTTGACTTTTCAGCTCACAGATCATCTTTTCGATGGGGATCACGGAACCTCAATGTGTCTGATACTGCTGGCAATGCACCGTTGAGGTGGCAATTAGTACTAATTGTTCTTCAGCCTTCAAGAGTCTGACAGCAGAAGTATTTTCCGACAGCCCAGGCAAGGACTCTCAATTGCTTAATACCCTCTGCCTCCACAGCAGCGATTCCAAAAGCCCACCTGAATCCTTTTGTGTCTTTGAAATAACTACTTAAGAGGAAATCTATGCCCAGAATACTCGGGGCCTCTGGACCAGTCACAGGAGGGTGTTTCTTCCACTCTTTCCCAGTCAAATTCACCTCAGCTTCCAGCAGGATCAACTGCTGCGATCCCCCTGCCGCCCCAGCAATAGAAATGGGTTCTGCCCCCACAGGTCCCAATGGGATTAGAGTACACTGTTTCACCAGTGTTGACAAAAGCCTCATATTTCTATGGTTCTGATGTGCCAGGCCATGGGATCCACACAGCCCAAATGACACAATTTTCCCTGGCCTCCACCTGGCTAGAAGCAGGGCCTCTCTAGTCCTGGCTACTGTTCCCTCCCTGGATGTTTTATTCATCTATTCTGGATGTTCCTTTTAGGGGATCTAACATATCATCCTCCCTTTCTATTATACCTGGCAGCTTGGTCAGGGGAAGCTGGGGCTACATTCATTTTGGTGGAACTCCCTCTGTTAGTTTCCTCCCTTGGCTTGCATAGCCATGCTGCTAGGACAGAGGTGGGTTTTCCATTCCTCCTCCTCACGTCTTCCCCATGTTCACACAGGAAGAACCACAAGTCAGCTCGTGGGGTGTACTCCCTCTCCCTAGTTGGGGGATGTTGGGCTCTGATGTTGGGGCCTCTGGTTTGAACTGGTGCCACATGGGAACTGTTCTTCCTCATCTCCTTCCTCATCTTCTCTCGAAATTTTTCCTGGTCATCATTGAGACTCAAACACAGCAGAGACATGAATGTACATCAGGCCATGGACCATGGTCTCATAATTCCTAAATTTGCTTGGTACTGAGAAGAATGACAGATTTGTCTTTACAGACAAGCTGTGGGTCTGCTGGTAGATAAAACTAGCACTGAGAGATAAAAGAAGCAATGGGAAGGATTCCACCAATTGATGAATGGAAAAAAAGATATTTGCCTTTATGAACAAACTGTAGGTTTGCTGAGAAATGAAATTGGGTGTTGAAAGATGAGAGAAACAATGGGGGAAAAAACATAAATTCCATAAGAATTAAAAATTAAAAGAGATGTTTATATATTAGAGGGGAATCTTAGGTATCAGGTGTTCCAGGAAGTCTCTACCTCTCAAGTACCTTAGACAATGGGGAAAGAGAGAGGGAAATGTGGTCGGGAAATTAGGATAAAAAGGAGGCTGTGTCCTCCAAAAATTTGAGAGACCCCAGGAGTATGCCCCATGGCCTCTCCCTTTATTTGAAAAAGGTAAAAGGACTCCTCTGTCTCCTTTTTGGAAATAAACCTGGCATTTGTGGATTGATTTCCCTTACACACTGAAGCCTTAACATTCACTACAGAGGGGCTGGGCAGTGGCTGGAGCTGTGGGGATCGCTGTGATTGTGGTGCCTGGAGATGGGCATGAGGCTTCTCCCAGCCAGGAAGCACCGTCTGTGTCCTGCAGCCCGTGGGTTGCTGGCGGGATTGCTGAGGGCTCTGAGGCTCTCTCAATCCGGTTCCTCTGGAGCTCCATCGGGGCTGCGCCGCTGCCGGGCAGGTTGGCCGGGCTGGGGGAGACCAGAGGGGCTGGGGTGGAGGGAGGCCTGGAAGGAATGCGGTGCTGCAGAGGCCTTGATGGGACAAGGCAGTGGGAAGGCACAAGGGGCAGGTGTGAGGGAGGAGGTGGCAGGAGGCTCCAAGGGCACAGGAGGCCCCTGAGGGGCCGGGGTGGTGGAAGCCCTGAGGAATTGGGTGTCAGAGGCCACGAGCAGCCCCCGGGCAGTCACCTTGTTCCTGTCACCCGCTGCTCTGGTGCTTCCCCTGAGAGACTGCCATGCCTGCAGCAGAAGCCCTCGAGGCTGGGCCTCAGCAGCCCCGAGGTGCCCAGGCTGGGCTGGCTGGCGACAAGGAGGGCAAGGAGGCCCTGGCAGGGCACAGCCACTGGGTGCTGCCAGGGCAG